AAGTTCATTCAGGACTTCTCGAAGATTGTGACGCCACTTACACGCCTTACGAAGAAGGGTGTATAGTTTATTTGGGGCACAGAGTGCCAGAAAGCTTTTGAGACATTAAAGACAAAGTTAACTACAGCACCGGTTTTGACTATTCCGAGCAGTGATAGGACATTTGTTGTCTACACAGATGCGTCATTAGCAGGCCTAGGAGGTGTTTTGATGCAGACCTAGAGAGTAGTAGCTTATAGCTCTCGACGGTTAAGGACGCATGAGCAGAACTATCCCACGCACGACTTGGAGTTAGCAGCTGTGGTCTTCGCACTAAAGACATGGAGACATTACATGTACGGGGTACAGTTCGAGTTATTCACAGACCACCAGAGCCTAAAATACCTATTTTCTAAGAAGGAACTCAACCAGAGGCAGCGGCGATAGGTCAAGTTCATCAAGGATTATGAGTTCGCGATTCAGTACCATCCGGGGAAGACGAACGTCGTGGCTGACGCTTTGAGCAAGAAGCGTCAACATCGGGTTATGCCTTTGAGGTGTTCGTTGTACCAAGATCTTTACACTCTTAGCCAGTTTGATTTCAGGCCAGAGATCGACGGGAGCAGCGCATTTTTGGGAGCTATGTCAGTACAGTCATCTTGGAGTAATAGAGTGGTCGAAAATCAGCTAGTGGACTCTTAGATTCAAACCCGAACGGAGAAGATTTCCAAGGAGCCCAAAGATAATTAGACCGTTGGAATAGACGGAGGCCTTCGAATGAAAGGCAGATTAGTTATGCCAGCTAGTACAGAACTGAAGAAGGAATTTCTTGATGAGGCGCATCGTTCTAGGTACACAGTGCATCCAGGCACAACAAAGATGTACAAGGACCTGAAGAGACACTTTTGGTGGAGCGGTATGTGTAAGGAGATAGCAGAATATGTCGCTAGATGCTTTACCTGTCAGCAGGTGAAGGCAGAACATCAGAGACCAGCAGGAACCCTACAGTCTTTACCCATTCCGGAATGAAAATGGACGTGTATCTCTATGGATTTCATTGTGGGGTTACCGAGGTCAAAGAAAGGGAGCATTTCCATTTGGGTGATAGTAGTTTTCACTTTGCATTTTTAGAGGAGCTTTCAGGATTCGTTCGGCAGCAGATTATCATACAGCAGTGTATTTCACCCGCAGACAGATGGGCAGACGGAGAGAGTAAACCAAGTCTTGGAGGACATGTTGCGGGCTTGCATTTTTGACTTCCAAGGCAAGTGATACATTTTTGGAGGAGCTTTCAGGATTCGTTCGGCAGCAGATTATCATACAGCAGTGTATTTCACCCGCAGACAGATGGGCAGACGGAGAGAGTAAACCAAGTCTTGGAGGACATGTTGCGGGCTTGCATTTTTGACTTCCAAGGCAAGTGATAGGAATACATACCTTTGATCCAGTTCACTTATAACAACAGTTACCAAGCGACGATTGGTATGGCTCCGTATGAGGCATTGTACGGGAGACCATATAGATCCCTAATTTGTTGTGCAGAACCGGAGGATAGCTTATTACTTGGGTCAAAACTTGTGAGGCAGACTACTGAGAAGGTAGCATTGATTAGAGAGCATATTCTTGCAGCTCAGAGTCGACAAAAGAGCTACACAGATCAAAGATGACGACCTTTGGAGTTTCAGGGTGGAGATTTTGTTATGTTGAAAGTATCACCAATGAAGGGCGTTAAGCGATTTGGCAGACGAGGAAAACTTGCCCCGAGATATGTTGGACCAGTCCGGATTACCGAGCGTGTTGGAGCGGTTTCATATAGACTAGATCTTCCAGCATCGATGTCAAGTGTGCACGATGTATTTCATGTGTCGATGCTTAAGAAGCACCTACGCGACGAGGAGCAGCAGAGGGTGATCGATACACCTGAGATCGAGATTCAGACAGATTTGTCCACTATTGAGGTGCCAGTTTGCATCCTTGCTAGAGAGGACAAGAGACTAAGAAATAAGGTGATTCCTTTAGTTAAATTTCAATAGAACTGGAAAGGAGCTGAGGAGGCTTCTTGGGAGCGCGAAGAGGATATGCATCGCGACTACCCACACCTGTTTGAGCAGGTAAATTGATTGATTATGAATTGTTTGTGTTTATAATTATCTATATGGTTATATTTATATTTAATGCTAGAATAAGGGTATTAACACTTACCTCCTAATCATTCGGAACACATGGTATATATATGGGGGGTTCCTTGTTTGGATTTTTCGCCCGACGTACTAGTTCCGCTTAGTTAGGGGTTAAGTGGGAGTATTCGCTTTCTGAATTGTTAAGTGTAGATATAGTTATATTTCATATCTGGAGATTAATCGTATGAGATATGTATGTGAGGGTTTCCTTGTCTGGATTATTCCCTCAATGTACTTTTCTCATATTATTAATCTCTAAGATGCGATTGCGGAATTTCGAGGACGAAATTCTTTTAAGGGGGGAAGAATGTAACACCCCAAAAATTTTGAAAATATTATTATAAATGATAATAAATGAGTTTTATTATAAGTTGTGATCATTCTGGGATGAATGGATTAGATTGGAATCATTTGAGATCGATTCGCAGTTTCAGCCTCGGTATCACGAGTCTACTGAAACCTGATACTATTTTATTTTTAGTAATTTTTCTATTGATCAGATGGGCATGAAATTTACGCCATTGATCTTATAATGTCAAGAATGTGTTGTGGGTAAAGTTTCATTGAGTTCTGACGACGGAGACTGAAACACTATTTTGAGACGGTATCGCGTCTACTGACATCCATTGTATTTGTATTTTTAATAATTTTTAT